TTTAAGAAAGTGACAGTATGCATTTGGATCAAGTTTTTACTCCTCTTTGCCAGGTGCGCGGTAAAAATCCAGGCTTCTTATTTGGCCTAGGTTGCTCCCCCTGCAGCGTGGGGAAGGGCACCTCATTACTGCTTGAAGAGTGGGTGTTCTCACTCCCTACTGTGCCTCTACTGTCCCAGCCCTGCATGGGAGAGGGAGGGTGCCTCCTCACTGCTCCCAATGCGACCTCCACTGACACGTGATGGGGGTGGGGTGCTCATTAACCACTGGAAGGTGGTGAACATCCTGGCTTCCTGCTTGGAGCTCTCTGACACCACCCGGACAGTGGAGCTCAGGGACACCTCATCACAGCCAGGTACAAATGGAAGCCACTTTGCCTTTGCTGATAGCAGTGGAGCGGCGCTGCAGTGTTTTCTGTGGTGTTTCTTGTTCCTTTAGCTAGATATGGCGAGCTTTTGTTGGCAATTTTGTCTTTTCTCCTTTTTGTTTGTGCCATTGGCTCTTCTGGATTGCTGGCTTCTCCAGCACCCAGACAAATCACGGCTGTGTCTTTCCTCAGAGCTCGAGGTTCCTCACCAATTTACCTTCTTCTCTACTTTTTCAGAGTTTCCTTATGTTGTTGCACATATAATGCCCAAGGTTTTCCGTACTTAGCAGGAAGAATAGAGAGAAGCACGTCTATTCCATCTTTGTTCCGAACCAGAAGTCTGACCAAGGGCTTTTTAAAAGACCGTTTCTCCTCTAAGAACATAAATATGATCACGTCTCAACCCTCTTTGTCATAACACCCAACCATCCAAAGGATAAGATTCCCATCCCTTAACATTGACTTTCAAAGCTTGTCATTATCTCATCACCAGTAACAACTGCCACATCTTCTGCGTTCTTCATTGTGCACACGTACTCTTCAGCTACACAGAATTTCTCACGTGCCATTTCTTAAATATATCTTGCCTTTTTATGCCTTGTGCACACGCTAGTGCACATGCGCTCTGCATATCCTACTGTTCTTCTCTTCTCGATTTGGCATGTCCCAAGCTATGCTTCAAATCTGCATCTTATATTACTGCGAAGCCTTTCCTGACTCTCCCAGAGTTAGCCTAGCATTATGAACATACCTTTATAAGCTATTTCTTTTTTGAGTTGATTTCTTCTACTAGAGCTCTCTGAGGTGAGTTTATATCTCTATGCATCTGTATTCCATTCAACTGTAAATCTTTGAGGTTCAGGGCTGTGCCTTTCTTATTCATCGGTGTATCCTCAGCACTGTGCCTGGCACATAGATGGCACTTATCAAGTGTTTATTAAATGAATAAGTGAAAGGTTGCTTTCAGGTACTAGAGCAACCAAAAACTGTACTCAGCTTGTATGACTCGGCCACCTGAGACTGCTTCCCTTTGAGCATTACCATATATTCCTTTTAATTTTTCTTCCTGAACAAAGTGACTTTGGGAGACTGTAATAATTTAACCACTTGCCAAATCTGCTCCTCCCTTCTTGAGAGGACATTCTGCTTTCAGGTTGTCCTTATATATACCTGCTGCCATCACTGGTTGACCATTTGATAGCAGGGCTGTCCCCTTGCTTGGCTGATAGTGGTAACCAAAGGCCATTCTTCAGACCAGATGAACCATCAGTAAATAGGAATAGACCAAAGCCCTTACTTGTGACCAATTATATCAAGGCAAGGACTTTCTTTGCCAAGCCCTTCCGGAGGATTGTCTTTTACTGAAAAATAAATCTTTTGGGATACATGGTCACCTTGCTTATCTATGTTTTAACTGTTGGCTGGAAGAAATTGAATAGCAACTCTTCTTAGTGAGATTCCAACATCTGACAAATCTTTCATTTTTATGGCACTTAACTCATACATCGATCTTTGTCAGCCCCAAACTATTCAGCATGTGTTATCTTGATGCTTACAATAACTTAGTGAGTGAAATTGTATATATACACACACATACACAGATACACCCATACGTGCACAATCACACACATACACATATGCGCACACAGGATATTAAAGATGTCACGGGTCAAACCTATTCCGTTATACCCATTGACATTATTAAGAATTCTGAGACTTTGACCCCTATATTTTGTTTTATCAGTCGTAGCCAATCTGATCCTAATATTGTATATAAGCTCATGCGCAATACCAAACTTACTTAATGTTGCCAGGCACATTTTATATGCAAAATTTTTAATTCTTACAGCCACCATGCAAAGTAGATGTCATCATCCACATCTTACAAATGAGGAAACTGAGGTTCAGAAAAGTAGTAGCATCTGAACAATGCCTCAAAACCCATGTTCTTTTCACTATACCACTTGGCCTCTTAATAAAAAAACCTTAACGTGAAATTAAATCTTTAAAAGGTTGAATAATTTCTATTTCTCCTAGTATTCCCAACTCCAACTCCATTAATCAAGGATCTGGGTCTTGATTCTATCACCAAAAAGAGTGCTAGTCTCTGTTTAGTAAGACGGAAGTGGAAGGAGGCAGGCATATTCAAAGAATGATGCTTGTGTGTGTGCAGTGCAGTTTTGGGCTGCTTTTGCCTGATTTCTTATTCTCGCGGTGCTTGTTCTCATAGACTTTCAGTCCCTTTGAAAAAACCAGGGAGGGCACTCGTTGCCATGTCTAAAGGGGCCTAAGCAGATAACTGGCTGCCCAAAAATGTCCTGTGAATAGTCAGTGAAGCTTGCTAGTAGTAGGAACTGGTATTTGGTGGGCAAAAAGGGCATTAACTGCCAGTTCCTGTCTTGTGAGTGTCTGATACTATGAAACCATAGTAAGCAGTTTTGAAAATTATATAAGTCTATCCACAATAAGAACTGAGAATTGTTTCCTTTAGTTTCTGATTCAGTTTATCCATTCCCTCGTTTCTTCATATTCTGCTGTCCCCATCCTGCGGGGTTTGAGGAGGTGGGCTGAAAGGGATGCCAGAGAACAGGAAGGCAAGTCAAGAGTGGAGAGCTTGTGTAGATGAGTGAAGACAGTGTCTGGGCCTTAGCATTATTCTCTGGCTCTCCCCTGAGCAGCAGGAAGCAAAGAGATTGTCCAGCTTGCCCACAGGAGTGAGTGAGGAACATTGGCAGTAGCGTTCCAGCTGTCGCCTTGGCCCCAGAACAGGGATATATGGCTGGAATTCCCAGGAAGTAACTGAGTCGAGGCAAAGACTATCTCAGGACTGGCCCTGCTCCCGGCTACTTGTTGGCACTCCACGAATAATAACCGCACCACCGTAAGGGCATATTCTCAAAACCTCTCTGAGAGTTCCAGCCCCTAAGAGGCACAAATACAGTATCTCCATAGAGGAGCGAAAATGAGCAGTCATGAGCCTTATTCCTTGGCTTCTCTGTCTGAAATGGAAAGACAGGTGTTCCATACTATTGGAGTCTGGATAGCACCTCTGGAGCCCTGGAGATGGTCCTTTTCCTTCCTCTGGTGATGTCCATGGGCTCCTCCTGTGTAGCATCAAGTAACTGCAGCTGCTTCCTTGGCTCATTTGTATTCCAACTTCACCCTTCTGTTAGCCCTTTAGAAACAGGTAGCTGTCTTCCTGGGAATATTAACTCATCATTCTAGTTTGCTTTCCACCACTTAACCTTTCAGGTGTAATGTCCGTTGGGTGTTACTGACCCCAGAGTTTGTTCATCACACATTCTAGGACAGCAAGTATCTCCTGGGATTGTCCTGGGCAAACCAGGACATATAGTCAACCTTCCCAGACGGATAGGAATGAAATGAATGTCCATCTGGGCATGAGCTGTAGTGTATTAAGGATTAAGTTAGCTGCTATTAGCTGTGCTCTTCCTTTGGTGTTATGCCTCTCTGTGCCTTTTATTACCTAGTATTGGCTTCCTTATCTCCTTCCTTCTTTCTGCTCTATCCTTTTGCCTCCTGGCCTCCTCTCGTTGCTGTCTTCATTTCTGCCACCATCCTCCACCCTGACTGCCTGGCATTCACAGAGGGTTTTACAACTCAATCACCCTCTCTCTCTTCATTCCATTCCAACGCTGGTAGCAGCCAAGCCTATTATTCTGGATCCTAACCTGTTTGGTGGAGTCTTTGCTCCACTTCCGCGGGCTTGCACTTAGGGCCTGGGCACTCCTAGGAGTTAGGGGTAGGGCGGGGGCAGGGCTGAAAGCCATTTGCACAAACACGATTCTATTTTATGTTCTATTAATAATTTTATTCTCAGGGCGAACGCTTCTCTCTTCCCTCTTTAGGTTCATATCCAAAGATCTCACAGTATCTTCTTATTATAGGTGGACATACCCTGCAAATTTGAAGAGCACTGTTGAGAGCAGGGAATCCTCTACTCCAGACTGGCTCTTCGCTTCCTCCAGAAGAGACAGCAGGGTTGGCCGTGGCGCTGTGACCGGGAGGAGACAGGGAGGCCAGTCTTTCTTTGAGGGGCTTGGTGGGTCCTCTCTTGCTCAACACATGTTCTGGAGCTTGAGTGGAACAGGAAGCTCCTGTTTGGGCCGGGAGGTGTGTTTGGAACCAGCGTCCTAACGCTCTGACACCCCTCATCCCACCCCGCGCTCCAAGGGACACTCGCACTCAGAGGTGTAACGTGGGGACCACCGAGTGTCAGCTCTAGCCCTCCGGCGTGCATCAGCTTCTCGTCCGCGTCAGGGCCACCACTTCTCCGGACAGGAAGGCGCCGCGGGAACAGCTACGACTGACAGATCGGATCGTCACGTAATGCTGAGAAGTGTGGGATCCCGCTTGCGGTGCCCGCGGGGAGTGAGCGGGCAGCGCGGGGCAAAAGCGGCCCCTGAAGCTGCGCGCGCTACGGGTCCTCAGCCCGAGGCAAAGCAGGAGAGAACCAGCGGCTGGCAGCCCCGCTGGAGAATGGGCAGTCGGTTCGCGCTGGGCCGGACCCCGAGGGCGGTCAGGTGCAAGGGGGCGGGGGCTCCAGGCCTGGGACTGCGGGGCCGGGGCGGGCGGGCCGGCGGGGCATTTAAACCCCGCTGCTGCACGGCTCTGCACCCTCCTCCGTCCATCTCGCCACCTCCCTCAGGCAACAGCCAGCAAGATGCGGTCCTCCTTGGCTCTGGGCGTCCGGTTCCTCCGCGCCTTCTCCAGGGACAGCTGGTGAGCGGGGCTGGGGAGGGAAGCGCGCCGGCCCCACAGCTCTGTTAGGCCGGGGCAGCCGGCAGGGAGCGTGGGGACCAGGGACGCGGCGGCCGGCAGCGAGCAGCGGCCGCAATGAGTCTGGGATCCTTCAGCGGCGCCGGCAGGAAGGTGAAAATAGATGGCTGGCGCCTGGGCGAACCTGTGCTTGCGGGCCAGGAAACCGGGGCCTGGGTGGTGGAGTTGCTGAAAAGTGGCCATTGGAGTCGCGGAGTGTCCCTTTCGGTCTCTTTTTGCCCTTGGATAACGCAAAGGCCAGAACTCAGCGGTCCTGGGAGCTTGCCTTGAGAGGTTCCAGGACCCGAGGGACACCGCGGGGAGGAGGGCTTACCTCTCAGATCAGAGGGGCAACAGCTCCTCAGCCGGGTAGTCACCCCAACAGTAGGAGAGCCATGTCCATAGTAGCTTTCCTTCTAACCAAGGGAGCCCCAAGGAGGCCACACAAGGCGGGGGCGGGGTGGAGGGGAGAACAGAGCTTTCAGGAGAGGCCACGCACTGGAGCAGTTTGCTTGGTCTGCACAGTGTGTCTTTGTCTTTTTTTTTTTTTCTTAAGTATTGTGTTAGTCGCCATCATTTACCAATTATAAATTTCAACACGAATAGCCAGATTCCTAGCTTCTCTTGAACAACAGATGATGTAGCACTATCAGGCCTAAATTGCCAAATTCTATTAACAGGACTTAAGGAGTCCTCATTAGATAGGGCAGGTTGCTCTTAATATGGCCAACTTGTTCTGGTTTAAAAATGGAAAATTCCACATTTCCGTCCCTCAAACCTGGGCAAATCGGGAAGGTCGGGCACCCTGGGCACTTTCCTATAAGTGACAGTCCTCATCGACTGTCCTCATTCCAGCTTTCTTCACTTATTCAGATGACTTATTTGGTCCTTTATGAACTTGGGACTATTACTATATATATATATATTTTATTTTTTTTCAGAAAAAGATAAAACTTGACTCTCGCAAGGATATAAAAATGAACATGTGTTGAAGATTTTATTTTATTCATAATGAGGGATCCAGAAGATGTTAAAATCAGTTCAAAAGAAAATCTAGTGGTGGTGGGGTGTGAAATGGGGAGTTATCGTTTAATGGGGACAGAGTTTCAGTTTGGGAAGATGAAAATCTGGAGATGGATGTCATGGCTGTACAGCAATATGAAGGGAGTTAGCGCCACTGAACTGTTCAATTAATTGTTAAAACAGTAAATTTTATAGTATGTATATTTTACCACAATTTAAAAAAAATTATACAGAGAACATGCCCATTTATAAATCAGGAATATTGAGGCAAAACTGGTTTTTCCACAGGTTGGGAGAGAAGACTATTGAAGTTCTATCAGTTCATAGACATATTTTGTATGATTTAGTTTCTTACCACTTCAAAGCATTGTAAAATAGCCCAAGGTTAATGAGATGCTAGATTCAGATAACCCGGAGAGGAATCCTCTAGACGATGCACAGTTTTCCAGTGAAACGCAAAATTTTTTCTGCAGTCTTCCCTGCTTTGATCAAAAGTAGTCACAGAAAGATTATTCTTGATCATAAAATAAAGCTGATCTCATTAGATTTGATCTGATTGTATAGGTGCAGCAAGAGTGTTAATTTATAACACAGGCCTTGTTAAGTTAGCTTTGCTGGAAGTTTTCATAAGGAATCTTAAATTGGACTTCTAAAAGTTGGTTATTATTTACTGTTCTGAATTAGGAAGCTAAGTCAAGAAACTCTCTCCACTAAGTTTTATTTGCTGTACTTTTATACATTTGGGCAAATTCCTGTCTTCTCGAGGTCTCCAAAATATTCTAAGTTTCCTGAGCTGGCCAGGAAGTGACCTTCCTTATTTGCCTATAAGGGAATACAGTAAGCCAGTTTTCTTGGGAGGGTTTTATTTGTATTGGCTCAATACAGTCAACCTTAAAAGGGGCTGGTTATATCTGATTAAATGAGTATCATTGTCAATTACTACATTCCAGGGAAGGCCTGGGTTGCACAGAATACCAGGTGCTGTAGGCATTAAAAAAAAAAAAAAAAAAAAAAAAGAGGACAGATTCTTATTGAACTTTTGCAAATAACCTTATTGCTATGAAAAGCCAAGAAGACTCAACAAAAGTTTATGGATTCTGGGGAATCAGGTAGAAAGAGAAGATATTTACAACTGTTTCATTTCAGTTTACAAAACAGTCTACTAAATTGTTATGGGTTATGGATAGCTTAAGAAGAAAGAGAAAGGACTTCTTATATATCCAGAAAATAGAACACTAGAACAACATCAACAATATTCCAAACACAAACAACAGTCATCCATCATCAGTTTATCATTGCTCTGCTGAATCGGGTTAGCAATCTCATAGACCTGTCTGCTTCTTGACTACAGAGTTTTGGAAACCCTGACTCAGCCCATCGGCATGTCTTTAAAGACGTCTAAGTGATGCCATCAGAAGCTTGTGCCCAAGAGCAAGTGCCTGGTACAATGCTTTTCTGCGACAGTTCTTCATTGTTAAAGATAAAATCTTTGGCCTATAACTGATTGCAGAGCGTTTAGGAAGCATCAGAATAAAAAAAAAAAAAAACTACCTGTGGGTGACAAAGACCTAAAAAGGCATGGATTAATGTATGACTGATAACATCTTACAACTTCTCATTAGGAGCAGGCTGATAACCAATATTCAATAAAATTTTGTCATTTTAACAGAGAAAACCAAATTCTACATTTGCATTGACATAACATTTGATACTAAAGCAACCACAATCTTTTAAAAAAATATGAATAAAATAAAAACCGAGCCAGCTTTGACACACTTAATTGCCTCTTTTCAGACTCATTTGTATATACTATAATTCAAGGCAAATCAAAGTCCCTTTCCACAAACCTACAAATTTATCCGTTCAGGTTTTGTCCTTCATTGTCCTTTTTCTTATTTTGGAACAACCAGTCATTTTACTTAAGGATAAAACTTCTCTTTTTTCTCAATAAACATGAACACATCTCATTACAAAGTATACGAAGTTGTGCCTCTCTGCCACCGATGTGCCTGTCAGAGTCTTCTTATTCATAGATATTAATTATACCCTTTAACCAAAGTAATTTATATTTCAGAGGAAATGGGGGGGACAAGGAGGGTCTCTAATTGTAAACAGCCTGTCTCACACCAGCATCTTAGAAGAGCTCATGAACCCACAGGACACAACGTGTCATTTGCATACTTCTTAAAGTGAGAGTCCAACCACTGTGCTGTCCAGCATCTCCCAGGCTTACGACAGATCTGGGCTGGAAGCCTCTCGCCACCGCATGCCTTGTGCAGTTAACTTCCCTAAGCCTCAGTTTCCTCATCGGTAAAAGTCCAGTGGGTTCTAGAGGATAAACGTGGTATGTGGACATTCTTGACCCTGGCGGCTGATGGGGAGTGCACAGTAATGTTCTTCTTCTTCTTTTCTCATGAGTGTAGCTTTGGACTCCTATCAAACACTAAACGCTAATGTAGTTTCTACTGTTTGCATGTTGTTATGTTGAGCTCTGAGGCCACAAAGGTGAGTAAGACCTGGTCCTACCGTCTCGAAATGAAGAATCAGGCTGGAGAGAGGGTGTGTACTCTTATTATCAAACGTACTGTTTCATATGTCTCCAAGTTGGGCATAGAAGTGAAGTGAAGAAAGCAGTTGTAGCTAGACCACCTAGGCATATCTAGCGCAGATTGGGCTTGAACTTTGGATTCCTCGTCTATAAAGTGAGAATATTAATAATACCCACCTCATAAGATTGTTGGAAGGATTCAGTGAGGTGCAGTGTGTAAAGTGCTTAGATCAGTGCCAGGCTCATGTTGAGCACTGGATAAACATTAATTATTGTCTATTACTTTCCTCGCTTTTTCTACTACTTTGCATCACGCCTTTATTTGTAGTTCACTGCAAGGTTTCCCCCACCTAACATATGGGTAAGCTACTTCTTGAGAAGCTATATTGCTTGTCCAGCATCGCACAGCTCATCAACGGCTGACCTGGAGTATGAATCCAGGTTAGCCTGACTCCCAAGCCCCTGTCTTTCCAAGTCCCTGTCCTCCAGATGAGAGTGTAGAAGATGGAAAAGATCACGTGGCTATTTGGCCTTAGACAAATCACTTAATCTCTCTAAGGCTCCGGGTCTTTGTCTGTAAAATGGAAATAACGGTGTACCTTTATCACAGGGTTTTGGTGAAATGAAATGAGAAGACATTTAAAGCACTTAGCCCAGTGCTCAACTTCCAGTTAGCACTTGGTAATTGCTAGATGCTTGTGAGTTTCTCTGGAGAGATTCCCCACCTCATTAGGAGGAAAAGGTAGCATGTGACTTGGTGGAGCTGGAGGTGTTATGAGTAGAGGTTGAGGAACGAAGGCCTGGAAGTGAAAGTGTCGTCTGTCTATTCAAGACAGTACCGTGTAGCTGCAGCTGCAGGAGCACAGGGGGCTGAAGGAGCATCTCTAGTCCCTGGGGATGAGGCCGAGAGGCAGCAGCACGAGTGTGCAAGCAAAAGTCATTGGCTGCGGAGCTTCTGCCCTTCCTTTCCCTGTCAGACCCTCTGCGTTGGGATGGGGTGGATAGCTAGTTCATGGCATTTCAGAGTCCTTCCTAGCCCTGGGCCTGGCCAGTGCCCTGCCTTCTGTGCCAGTGTCTGTGTGAGCATGTCTGGGGTCAGCTGGCAGCATGAGCATCTTGCCAGAGAGATGACTGGGGCTGGTGTTATAGGGCCGGGACTTTTTCCTGAGGCCCTTTAATAGGAAACAGCTCAAGAAAGGGAGGAGAGAAGCCTGTGGGATGAGGCATCAGCTGGAAGAGCCGGATGGAGAGGGAAAGGCCAGAAAGAAAGCTGACGCTGTGAACTCACCTTGCTATTTTTCCCCAACACTGGAATCTTTCCCTGTGAGCTGGAAAGGTCAGGGCTGGCTAGTGGCTGCTGCTAGGATGAATGGCTCTACCCTCGGAGTTTGCT